GATGAAACATATAAAATTTTCCAAATAACACGTTTTTATCTCACGATTCCAGAATATCAGGATAAAAGAAAAATGGAATAAATTTCGCCTTCTGTTCCACGCCGTATGCAGCGCCAAACGCACGCAGTTCGAATTTATTACCAATCGATCACCAAGGTTCCAAGATTACACGTACACGCCTGTCCCCTGTCCCTAACCCTTCTAATCTCAACCCTTTCCCCCGTCTCTCTCCATCCTCCACCTAACCCTCCCTCCTATCGATCTGTCCGGGATAGGGTTAATCGATGGCCGATCCGAAAATAAACGAGGCCGATGGACGAGAGTGGGGGAGGGGGGGGGGGAGGAGGGAGGGTTGTTACGCCCGATCTTCCAGATATTAGAGTGTTTATCCGAGCTTTACGAATCCACTCGACGCGTTGTCCGACGACTCCGTTTGTCCGTGAGCGACTCCCGCAGGAGCGGGCTAACAACATTAGCTCGGGATTTGTCTTTGGGGCTGGATATACGGGCGGAAACGGCGGGGCGGAACGGTATATCCTATTAATATTGCGGTTGTATCACAGTTTCACCAGACTTGGCGTCGTTAAGGGAGATGTACAAAGGAGATAGGCAAACAGGCGGTCGCTCTCCAACTTTATTACGCCTCTCTCGGAAACGCGCAACGATGATTTCGCCCCCCGGGCGAAAAAGGGACGCTAGATCGTCGCGGATAGAGGGATAATGGATTTCTCGAGATTTCGATCGAGATTCGTGTACGCTAACCTAGAGCTAAAATTTTCGAATCACGAATCCTCTGTTTCACCAATGCGTGTTTTCGTTCCTTTCGCATTTCGAAGCGTATATTGCATATATTGTTTGCATGTATGCAAGGATGATGAAATGTTTGGATTCGAAAAAAATTAACAACGTTTTTTTTTGAGCGTTGGCGAAACTTTGAGAAATAATTGAACCTGATAAGCTGAACAAGCCGATTAAATAAAAAAAAGATGCAACGGAAACGGAGGGGTCAATTAAATGCCATTAGCGCCCTGTCCCTGTAACAGGGCAACACACGGGGATACCGAAACGGATAATACCCGCGTAAACCCTTGGTCCGATTCCTGGACATCGTAATCGGATCGCGTTGAGAACCTGGTAAGCCAGGGAACGTAACCGCGTTATCGTGGAGCGTTAATTTTTATGATTCGACTTCGATATTATGACCTGTGTGCAATCCCTCTTAGACCTCCCCGATACTTTCGAAATAAAGATTCTTCTAGCGAAAAAAATGACAGAAATGTAGGGAAAGAATTCGGTTCGATCGGAATGTCATTTCGATTTTACCGATCCCTGATACAAATTTCTCGACGGGCGATAAAAATAAACGAGCGATTGGATCATCTCGTTGATTGATATATCGCAAAATCATCGTGCATCGCGTTCCATTTCCATATATTTTCCTCGAATAACCTTTAATCTTCTCGACGAAAATATCCACGCACGACAAAGGAATCGATACACGGAACAACGAACTCCCTCGCGACGAGAGGCAAGCGTATCGATCGACGTTGTTTCCACAATTAGCGTGATCGCGCGCAGGGTAAGCGAAAATAGAACGAGACAGGCCGATTAATAACAATTAAACGGGCGTCGTCTACGGGAGATACACGATGCAATTCATCCATTCGAGAATTGAACGTTATCTAAACGAGCGATGCGCACAAGCGTGGCCGTTATCGTTCGATTACGAAGAGAAGGGAAGGGAGAGTGAGAGAGAGAGAGAGAGAGAGAGAGTCAGAGGTCGACAATTGTCGCGTCAACTAATGTTACGGTCTATCTTGCAAGAGGCAGGGCTAATGGCCGTCTCAGGAGTCGCTAATATGTCGTAAGTAGGGCCGTCAACGGGGTGGAACGCAACTCTCGTAATCGTAACTGCAGTTGCTTTTCGCGGAAACGGCGCTTCCGCTCCTCGGGGAGTTTCCGTGTTAAACGAGCTACTCTCGCTCGAAATCAGCCGTCGAGGAAGAAGTGATACGGAATCCTTGTTTCGCAGTGTAATTTAATATTAACGGGATCGCGCAAACTTGTTGTTCGTTGACGATGAAACAAATGTATCGCGCTTAATTAATCAATTCCTTGATTGATTGATTATGCAGTGGTGAACAATAAATAAGAAATATAGAGGTGATCTATGGTTATACGTGAGTGCACGTGTCGGGCTAGAGAACAGCAACTGAACAACTGACGATCGAAGGCAAACAAAAGGATGCCAACTACAGAACAGTGACACTGTTAGCAACGTTTAATAGTAAAAATTATAGACAAAATTTCAGTGAACTTTTATACCCTTATAACAATTCCAAAATACGATTTCATTCGATACCTTCTTCTCGTTTTTTTTACTTAGTTTCGCGAATTCCAAAAAATGTTCTCAATTCTGTAAGAGGGAGACAATAATTGTTTCCACTCGACGAGATAAAAGGAATAAAATTCCTTTTATGAATTATTTCTTAATCCGTTTCTTGCAAAAGTATATAGACGGAAACGGTATCAAACAAATTCGGATGTTAACCGTATTCGAAACGGTATTTGAATTGGTTTCCAAGGCACGCAACGTTGGTCGCATCGATCAAACGTTGGGAGCCGAATAATCGGATGCATCGATGCAGGCCACCCCTTTTCCGCGCGCCAATATACAAAAGAACGGAACGGCGGTTGCGAAAGCAGCTCACGTTGCTCCCTTCGTCTCAGCCGGCGGTATCGGCCGCCACGCGATATTTCACCGTTATGTTTAATAATTCGCAGACAGCCCGATGGAGAGCTCCGTATCGGCTTCACCCCCTACACCTCCTCTCCAGCTTTTTCGTCCGCTTATTTCTTGCCTCGTCGAGGATGTCGTAGTTGCCATAAGTTTCGCCAGCCGTGGCGCGTGAGCTACTTCGAGTATGAAATGAACTACGTGCCTCTCTTACCGGATATGCTTTACGGAGGAAGGGTGGGGAGAGGAGGTTATTCTTCTTTGAACGTTCTTCTTCCTTTTTTTTTTTTTTTTTTCTTCCTCTTTGGGAGATGGTCGGTTTTTTCAAGCAAGACTGAAGACAGTAGAAGATTTATTTTCGAGGAGGGGTTAAATTCCATTTCCTTCAATTAACTTCTTCGAAATTCTTTAATTCCTCGAGCATTATTTTCACGTATTCAAAGTAGCAGGAATTTTATTGTATTAAATATACGCGAATAAGTTTGGTTACGACGTATAAAGTTAAAGTAACTTTAGGAGAGAAGTTTCCTTCAATATCCCCAAAGTTAATGAAAATGGAGCTTCCTTACTCCCTCGATTAAATTCTTTCTTTCGCCCTTTCCTCGAACAAATATTCCGCGATATTTCACGTAATTTCCTCCGAAGGACGAGTCACCTGGCACGACCTCCACCTGGCCCGAGGATCTGGCGAAAAGCATGGACATTTCCCAGGTGTTCCCGTCTGCACGCTCGGCATTCCACGCGTATCCGGGCTGCTTCTACCCAATTTCTGTGCTCCCCGGGTTTATCCGTCGCAGCCGCAAGATATTTCCACCACCCCTCTGCGGTCGACTCGTATTACTGGACGCTAGGAAGGCGGGGGGTGGTGCCGGTGGGAATACAAGTTTCGAATTCCCGGTTAACAGTAGTTTTACGATCTCCTCCAACACTTGGAGGAGATCGGCTACGACTTCTATGAATATTAACCCCTCGACCGACCGGCCTCACCGATTACTTCAACCCCGTGCGTGCAATTATCGTGGACCCCGAGTTTGGAACTCGGATCTCGACCCCTTCTTCCAGAATCTCCTTCTCGCGAGGAGAGCCCTTACAACGACGAACGAAATTTATACTCGATTCGCATTGATTTATCCTGCTCTTCTTGGAAATCTTTTTGGCAAAATAATCTCATCTATCCAATGAGGTATGGTAATAACGAAGGTGAAGAACTTTCTTTCTATTTTCATCGTTATTTCTCCTCTTAAGAAATCTTTTTTCTTTCTTTTCTCTTTCACGAGAACGCATATAAATATCCTAACAACAATCTTTCCAAGGAACAGGCGAGTCACGCTTTATCGCTCCTCGTTTTACCAATCCCTTCGTCACGGTGTCGCGAACGATCGAAGCGGGCCCCGAGCGAAACGAGGCTAATTTAGCATGGACAATGGGAGGAGGTCGGTCGATTACGGAAACTACGGCATCCGTATTCATCGGGTTGATCCGTCGATTCGATGCATGGTGCGCGCGGTCCGGCGCGGAATCGCGCGAGCGTCGGTCGAATCGGATCGGTAGACAAGGAGGGGGAGGAGGCAGGGCTAATGGGAATCCGTCGGCAATTTCGCGTACGAAACTTGTCCTCGTGGAACGTGACGGGAATTCTGGCGAATTTGTTTTTCCTTCGGCCGACTCCTCGCGCAAGGGAGGGTGTAAAATTGGATGGGTTGCAAAATGAATTCTTATCGTGACGGGTAATGGGTGGCCTCGCCGCTTCGAAGCGGAACAATTGCCCGAGCATCGTGTGCGCAAACATTCTTGGGATTTGAAATTAACTCGGTTTACCGAGAAGGATGGAACAAGGATGTGATAAAATTTTATGTCGTGTATCTGTACAAGAGATCGAGAATCGTTTCGCCATTCTCTTCTATTCTCTCTCTCTCTCTCTCTCTTTCTCTCTCTCGTTTTCGTTGCATCTTTCGACCTAGTATTTTTAATAATAATCTTTCGGTTAGAACTACGTTTGTGCGGATACGTTTTTATCTGAGGATGATGAAAAATATGGAAAAATTTCTGATAGATAACGCGATAACGATCGTGTAGAAGGAAGCTGAAAAGTGATTTTTATACTTTTAATCGATATACAAAAAATTCGACGAAACTCCATCATCGAAGAATACGCTTTTCAGATAATAATACGCTTGGTTTATCTTATCATGCTCGTCTTAATTTTTCAAAATCAAGAATGCACGTGTAGCACACCAAGTCTTATCGTATCTAACTTTTACTTGGAGATATATATATATATCGTTCGTGTCGATAGAAATTTAGACGGACCTCCGAGCGGGGCTGTTGCGTATCCCGCAATCAGCTTGATGCGCGATTGTCCCGGAACGATCTCATTTATCTTCTAGTATTCCAACGGAGTCGGCCTCTCCGCGTTGCGAAATTAATCAGACGGCTCCAGACGCGCCTTTGTTGGCTGCCTCTCGTCAAGACCTCCTCTTCCGCGATAGATTAACAAATATGGATCGCGTCTGGGTACTATATACCCCTCGACGTGTGCCACTCGATCCTGACACTCGCTCCGTTTAATGAAACGCCCGCCTGTCGACCCTCCGCTATCTCTGAAATCGAGGAGCTCGCTCCAAGGAAAGGCCACTTTCCGAAATTATTATTATTAATAACGATACTTTATCCTAGATTTTCCCCCTTTTTCCCCCTTTTCGTAGAATCTTTTTCACTCTTCCCCCCTTTTTCTTACCCTCTCTACCTTCCAATCGTCAAATTGCAGAGCGATCTATTCGAAGAGGAAAAAGAGAGAGAGAGAGAGAGAGAGAAAATGCCTTTTCCAACGAACCATTTCGCCCCGATTGGCTCCACCCTCTTCGATTAACCATCGATACAAGTCTGGCCAAGTAACTCGTCGGCCTCCAAGTAAGTTAACGAGCCAGGCTGGCTGGTAATATTCCCACGACGAGAGGGTGGGACGTTTTCCTTTTTCGAAGTCAGTTTCCTCTTCTTCAGCCACTTTCGAGTTCGCGAATCGCGCGCGTAACCTTTTCCCTTTCCTCCACGGATGGATGGAAACCGTGCTCGCATCCATCGATATCGATCGCGGTGGAGCGGGCCGCTTTGTGAGCCGCGGATTTCGTGAGACGGAACTAGACAGAATCAGACCACTGGCCTTCGCTTCCGTATACACCCTCGAATCTATTTGCAGATTCGACTACGTCGCGATCAATACGCCTTGACCGCACCGCTTCGATCCCTCTGTTTGACTCGAACGTCTGCTCGCGTCGTCTTTGAGCGTCGTCGCTGGAAACTCTGCTCGTAATTCGGGAACCAAGGTGGAACGAATGGAAATTCGATCGGAAAAGAATCGTGAAATGAATAAATTTCGTGTCCTTGTTAAAAAAAGAAAAAAGAAAAAATTTGGTTCTTCCAATCCGAAGGAAGAATTTTTCTTTCTACTGATAATTTCATACTTTGCGTAACGAACGTACGCGACAGTTCGAATAACGCGTGTTTTGATGAAGGTGAAACGTTGTTTGAAAAAATTCGGAATTTCGGTAGTAGAAAGTTGGGTAAAATTTCGAAAAGCGGAACGAATATTTTAACGAGGAGAAGTCTATACGCGGCATACACGCACCCCTCCAAAGTGTTTCGGCTGTTTTCGCGCCAGTGGCAGCGTGAAATGGGGAAAAATTCGAAACCGTAAAGGCAGTGGAGATTTCGCAAATCGGAGGAGCGGCTCGGAGTGGTGAAAATTGCAGTGGTAGAAAATGAAAATTTTTTCTTCCCACGGGGATGGCGTGGAATTTCCTGCTTTATTACTTCAACCACTCTGGATCTGGATCCACAGGAAACGGGGAGGGAAGGAAAAAAGAACGGAACGAAAGGATACATGCTCCTGTGGATCGTGGGAAGAGACCCATCTCTCTCTCTCTCTCTCTCTCTCTTCTCCTTCCCCCTCTTCTTTTTTCATTATTCCCGCAACGTACACTTATTCGCCGGTCTCGTGGACGTCGCGTTTTCGTTCCAACGATTGTACGCCCCGACAATGGGCCGGAGGACTGAGAGTTTCGATTCCGTCCCCGTCGCCGATTCCTTTTTTTCCTCTCTTTTCCACGAGCGCATCCCTCTCCACATCGACAGGGAAAAGTTTCGCTCGTGAAACTTTCTCATTGTCCCTCCCTCATCTCCCTTCTGTTTCACGAGGCTCGGCCACGAGGCTGGCCGGTTATCGTTCGAATTACCTGAAACCGCGCCATCCAACCGGGCGAAACATATTTTTCCTCCCCCTCCTTCGTGTAACCGTCTCGGCCCATTGTCCGCTCGACGAGAAGGCTTTTCCTTTCCACGACGCGCGGAGTCAATTTACCGAGGAATTAATCCCGCTGCCGACGGAGAGCCGAGTTCGAAAGGAGTTCGAAAGGCTCTCGAGTACAGCGATAGAGTCAAAGGGGGACGACGCTTTAATTGCGTCTTCCGGCTTGTTTCCGCATTGTTTTCGGCCTCGATAATCTCGTTGCCTCTCGTTGTCTCCCGTCGACAGAGCGGAGCGGAATTTTAATTCGAAAGCGGATCAAACGGCTCGACAAAGTTTTTCCACGCACGACTCGATGCCGATCGTCCGTTGAAATTTCGAGTAAATTAGAGAAGGGTGTTGGAACGATTTCTCACACCCGTTCGCTCCATGTTATCGTATTACTTCGATTCTCACACAAGCTCCAATTTCTCACGGAACTCATTAACTTTAAAAACGATTCGTCTATCCAGGAATTATCCTTGTACAAAATCGAATCACCTCTTCACGCGAAAACAACGTATTCGCGCGCCTCTCGGGAGTCGCAAACGATGACTTCCAGTAACTTCTCGTCCAGGATGGCGACAGACGCGCGGCCCATCCTGCCGATACCTCCGGGGACCGCGCGGATGAACAATGGATCCCTCTCCTCCCTGGTCATTACGAAGCGAACTCGCCTCCCAACGATGGCTAAATCTCAACGATCCCTGCGCTCGTGCCAAAAGGGATCCGCCAAGGGTCGTTGGATACCGTGGACGATTTTACGAGGATCTCGATTTGGCACCGCCTCGTCGAATTGCCGGTGTCGTACTGTTCAGATGATTCGCGCGTATAAACACACGAATCCACATTGTATAAACATTGTTTCCATCGTTCGGTACGATCGAAGGAAAGTTTGTTTTGAAATAAAATTGTTCTATAAGCGAGTGATGTTATGATATAATGGAGAGGAGAAATTTTGATTCGAAGGATAATTAATTAAATAATTTTTTAAGAATCGTTCAATTTATATAAATTCGTGAATTTTTGCTTACCTACCTTGGAGAGATAACACACCATCCGGCGTGATGGTGATTCGAGCGGAATCCCCATCGATTTTGGAAACTTTATCCAGGGAGGTTGATGAAGGTTGATGGAAATGGAGCACGTAACGGGAAACGAAATTAGTTAGCGCGAATAGTGTGAGCTCGATATATAAAGCAATAAAGGCGCGTAACGTAATCCTGATTGGCGAATATACGAAGTAACATTAGACGTGGAAATTATCCGTCCACCAGGAGACTCTTTCCCTCCGATTTTTTCCCTCCGACGGTGTGTACACATCGATACGTTCTTTCTATGCGATGGTATCAAATTCACGGGGACGACGAGAGGATGATAATCAAGATGATTTCCTACCAGAAATTGCAATATTCTTAGAGATTAGAATCCCTAGTTTCTTTCGTAAATCAAACGATTTTTTACTTCCTTTTCCAAATTTAAAAAGGCAGGATTTGAAGGATCATCGCAATTCGCGCTGCAGTTTCGAATAAACTGCATAACGAAGGAAAAGGATTCGGAAAATTCATTGAAAAATTGCTCCAATTCCATCCAACGTATGAAAATATTCTTATTCGAGAGAGATTTCATTCGTCGATCGATCTTCTTTTTCTCGCGGCGAAAAAGGCTGCTCCGTTCCCGGCTAACCGAATGGCCTCGTCGCTTCTCCCCTGATCGTCTGTACCAATTAACACGGACCGCGCTCACGAGCACACCTAACGGGCAGCTCGCGCTACCAATAAACCCATCCTCGCATAAAATACGAGCCGATGTCATTAATCTCAATAGCGAGCCCGGTAATTAACGCGGCCACCAAGGCCGATACAGCCACCGCCAAAAGTCTCGTCTCAAGGATTAACCCTTCCTTCTTCCTTATTCCTGTAGTTTCCGTTCTAGTAGCAATATCAACGAGTCTCGCGTGTTCAGATTGTATTATATATATGTAAAATTGTATAATTTAAGCAGGAAAATTTGAAATCTTCTCCTGAGTGTAAAAGAAATTACAACGGTTGACGAAAAATTCAGTTGCAAATTAGATTTAATAATATATTTTTAGGATAGTTTTTTTAGCGAGGGGTCAATCGTTTCTCGATCAAGGATTATCGAATAGAAGTTGTACAGCCATGGGTGGATGGGGGAAGATAGGAATAGTTTGAGAAGAGGAATGTCATAAAAACGGGCGTAATTCGCAGAACATAAGCACCATCGAGGAGAAATAAAGCTGGTAAATCGGGAAACTTTGGTACGGGAGGGAATAGTCTGGGCGAAATTATATTTACCCCTCTGGTTCTGGAGGGATATATATTATTATTTTGGGGAGGGGGGGGGACACTTGCTAGGATTCCACGGATATGGAATCCGTACTTATACCATGGAAATTCCATAGGGGTAATTCGATACAAATTTTTCCCGACTTCTCGTGTTTCGTCGTCCAATCGTTCGATCATCGCTTTTCCCTTCTTCCCTTTCTCTTTTTTCCAATATAATACCAATAAGGAAACGTATCGATGAAACGTTGAAGCAACGACATTCTCCGATATATATATATATTGAATCGGATCGAGAAATAAACTAATTTTGATTAACTCATATACAAAGAAATATTCGATTCTAATCTAAGTGTCGTGTCGCGCATTAAACGAAGAAGATTGGCCAAGAAATTGTTTCCTATAATACGTAAAAAAAGTATTACACCTGTTGGTTCGTTATGCAGCGATAAACAATAAGTATACAAGAAATATACTGATTTAGCTGAATGGATATATTTTGGTTATACGCGTGAGATCGCGTATCGAAGATAAACGAAAGGAATACCGCCAACTACGGAATAGTAGCAACGTTCAATAATAAAATTATATATACAATTTCAGTGAACTTTATACCTTATAACAACGCCATATCGGTGAAAGTTTGTCGATATCGTGGCCCGCAATAATTTTCCACGAAGACACGTGGGTGGGAAAAATTCGCGAAGAATTCGATGCGATCACCGCTCGATACACAACGCGACTAAGACACCGGTTGATAACGGTCCACGGAGTAGCAGAATTGATTTAGAGCCGGTGGTATCCCAGGTTGGGTCCTATAAATCAGCGAGAAAAGCAATTTAAACCGGTACAGAGAGAGAGAGAGAGAGAGTCCGATCATCGTAACCCCGCCAATATCCCCAACGTTCGCATAAGTTTTCATTTAGCAGCCGCTCGCTAACGAAGTCTTGGAGCGTATAAATTCGTCTAAGCTTTTCCACGCGGGGTAATCCCATTGGCGGGGGATAAAGGCACAGTTGAACGAGGATCG